GCCACTGATTCAGCTCAGCCAGAGCAGCTCTGCAATGCTGTTCCAGCCCTGGAACATCCTGGTTTTATGGGATTTACAGGAAAACAGGCCTGGAACTGCTGCACGAGGAAGATCTGGAGAGGAAGAAGAGCAGAAATGCTCCTCTTCCATGGACACAACTATTCTGCTCCCATTTCTCCCTCAGCTCCTGCCCTTTGCCAGCAGCTCCAGCTTTGTCTCTTCCACAGATACTGCCCAGCCAGCTCCAAGGCCTTCTCCAGTGTATCCTGACATTCCTGAGCTCTTGGAACCTTCTCAGTGCTTCAGACTCTCTGAAAGGTCTTCTCTGAGGGGCACAGAGGAGGTTTGAGATAAGACAAGGATGTAAGAAGAGCTCAGGTTCTGCTCAGAGATCCCCCAAAGTGTCCCCATCAGTCGCTGGTGATGGACTGAGCTTCTCCAACTCTTGGCCAGGCCACAGGAGCCAAAAATTTGGGCTCTTCCAGCCCAGAGCTCAGACTGAGGCTGCACTTAGAGCTGGCCTGCCCCACTCCAAGCAGCTGCAGCTCTGCAGGGAGCTGCTGGAGAAGCCTTGTATGGTGGCTGGGAGCAAACAGCTCCATCTCCCAAATTCCATCGTAACAACCAAACAAAGGACTGACAGAATAAAGGGAATAAAAGGAAATAGGGATGAAGAGCCCAACTTCCTGCAGTGGCTGCTGCTGTCCCCACACCTGTGTGACACAGAGACACCACAGAACCCCCATTATCAGACACCCTCACCCTCAGACACCTCCAAACCGATATTTCCCCGCAGCGAGAGCTGCCGGCGCGGATATTATTTATAAAACCTCAATGAGAATACATCTGCACGGATAACTGACACCGTGTTCCCTGCGTGGCATATGCAGGCTGAAAATAAACATTGGTTCTATATGTTCACTGCTCCAGCAGAGTCCAAGCAGCAGGAAATGCATGAAACATGGGCAAGAGCGGGAGCGCGGCGGTGGGAGGGAACATGGAATTACTTGGAGAGCAGAGAGGCGGCCCCGGGAGTTAAAATACACAGCAGGCAAAGAGAAGAGAGGAGCCAAGAGAGCTGAAAAAAATGGCACAAGAGACGAGAGAGGCAGCTGGGGGAGTTAAAACATGCAGATGGAGAGATGGCTGGGAGAGAGGAAAGACCTGGATGCGAGCGGAGAGACGGCGGCCGGGAACTGGCCACTTAAAATAAACTTTGGGAGCAGCGAGGTGGGGAGAATTCCTGGGGTCTGACACCCTGCTAGGGGCAGGGGCTGGGCCCTGGAGGGGTGGGAGTCTCACCCAGGTGAGCACCATCACCCACCTGCACCTGGGATCACACCAGGCACAGGAATTGTCCCCTCCTTCCCATATCCCAAATTCAAACTACTCAGAGGAGTCACCCCCTTCCTTCCCCACAATCCCAAATGCAAATGAGGAATCTCTCCTTTCCTTCCCCACAATCCCAAATGCAAATCCATTGGAGGAATTGTTTCTTCCTTCCCCACTTTCCCAAATTCAAAATACTCAGAGGAATCGCTCCCTTCCTTCCCCCAATCCCAAATGCAAATCCATTGGAAGAATCAGCCCCTGCTTCCCAGAATCCCAAATGTAAATCCATTGGAGGAATTGTTCCCTTTTTTCCCCACATACCAAATTCAACCAACTTGCAGGAATCATTCCCTCCTTCCCACAATCCCAAATGCAAATCCATTGGAGGAATTGTTCCTTCCTTCCTCACTTTCCCAAATGTAAATCCATTGGAAGAATCATCCCCTACTTCCCACAATCCCAAATACAAATCCATTGGAGGAATTGTTCCTTCCTTCCCCACAATCCCAAATTCAAACAATTTGCAGGAATAGTTCCTTCCTTCCTTCCTTCCCACAATCCCAAATGCAAACCTATTGGAAGAACCATCCCCTCCTTCCCACAATCCCAAATGCAAACCTATTGGAGGATCCAGATTTTGGCTCCTGATCCCAGCTCTGCAGAGTGACACCTTCATCCTTCCCATTTACAGCCCCTGTAGGGATTTCTAGAAATAAATGGATAATGCCTGCCTGGATCTCACCCCCATTAAAAACACCCTCCTCAAACTCAAATCCTACTAAATTTATCAAGTTACACTTTTCCCAAACGCTCCAAAGGGTTTTTTTTTTCCCCAAAATGAGCTTCCAGCTCTGAGTGAGCCCTTTAGGAACGAGTTTTAAGATCTGAGAGTTGACTTCAGGGCCCTGAGGCACAGACAGGGACACTCCCCGTGTCCCAGGGCTGCTCCAGAGCTGCCACCAGCTCCAGCAGCATGGCCAAGCCACACCTCACTCCCCATCCCTGCTGCTTCTCACTCCCAGCCTTCCAGGAACCCAAGGATATCTGATGGAAAATGCAGCAGGCACAAAGCTCCGGGCACAATTCAGGCAGGCAAAAGCAGAGCCCGGATATTTTTATACCCACGGAGTTTTGTGGCAGCGAGAAGGAAAATTTTCTCTCACAAACGTGAATTAAAGCTTTCAATAAGTTAAAATGATGATTTTTTTTTTTGAGGGCAATCTCCTGTAAGTTCACAGATAAAATCAGTTTTAGAAAGGCCTGCACTGAGCACAGGTGCATTCAGCAAAACTCACATCAATCCAAGGATTTATGATGCCCCCGAGGACAAAGAAGTGATTTACTGGTTTTATTTTGCTGCAAAGGAGGGAGCAAATTTCACCATCAGTTTTATTTTCTCCCCAGGTGCCAATCCAATTTTACTGCCAGGTTTATTTCAGCCTGGGGATGGCCCAGGCTGGACCCACAGTGTGTCCTGCTGGAGACAATAATTTATTAATTTAGAGAGGAGAAATTTTCTACAAATTTCTCCAAATTTTTTTCACATAAAGGATTTTATCTGTGAGTACTCCGCAATAAAATAATTTGAAGCAATAAAATAATTTGAAGCAATAAAATATTTTGTCCTGAGTGTTGAATTTTTTTGATGGTTAATTGGGAATCAGTTAAACCAGTGGGAACACACAAAACCACCTCAGTGCAAAGCCCCAGTCCTACAGATGACTTGGAGTAAGCCCTGAGTAAATTACTTCAAAGTTACTCCAGAGTAAGGCACAGCCACTTCCAGGCACATTCCCAGCAGATCCTGCAGGTAAAATCCTGGCTTTGGGGGTAACAAAGGGACTTGGAGCAGGGATGAGGCTGCAGAGATTTTGTCCAGAAGGAGAATGAAATAAAATTCAAATGTTTTGCCCAAAATTAGGAGGGTTAGAATCTGCTCCTTCTTGGAATGAGATGGTGTTTAAGGTGTCTTCCTACCCAAACAATTCCATGATTCCATGATAATCTCTCTGAACACCTTTTAATCTCTCATGTTTCCTAAAAATCAGGGGCAGTTTTCCACTGAATTCAGGGCTTTTGTCTCACAAAAATTCAGGGCTTTTGTCTGACCTTCCACCATGGGTTATTCAAACTGCTGGGCTGTCAGGGTGAGTTAAAATAATCATGTCAGTATAAAACTTCAACAAGCTGGACATTGGTCCTAAATGGATGATGGAAATCGATTGAAATGATGGAAATGATTGGTCCTAAATGTGGAAATGTAATATGTAAAAAAATCTGTCTGGTGGATGAAATGTGAGGGGGAACCTTGTGGCTCTGCACAAGGAGGGGACAGGAGGGGACAGCTGGGGGGGCAGGCTCTGCTCCCAGGGAACAGGGACAGGAGCAGAGGGAACAGCACCAGGGAGGGTTTGGGATGGATTTGGGGGAAATTCCTTTGTGGAAAGGGAATTGTTAAGCACTGGAAGGAGCTGGAGTCCCCATCCCTGGGGAGATTTCAAAGCCTGTGGGAAATGGATTTATAGAAAATTCTCAAAGCCTGACACAAGGCTCACATAGTGTACATCTGTATGCAAACCTTGAGATAAGAAATACTGACTTAGAAATGCCATGGAATAAGAGAGACATTGTTGAGAGAGAAATTAAGTTTCCAAAGATAATCTTACAAAAAGGACTAGATACTTTGGAGAACTAGAACTGTAAAAGATATATTGTAAAACCCATAAGGGGTAATTTTAAATAATTACCTTTAAAACATTTACAACATAGTGGAGCTAAAGCTCATAAGCCAAGAAACACTTGTGTATTATAATTAAGAAATAGCTTCTGATTGTAATAACATAACTTATAACATCTGTATTATCTCACCCTTCACATGAGACTTAAAATAAATTAAAAGTTTTTAAAACCCCATCTCTAAACCAGACTAAAACATAACCCAACAAAAGCCCTGTGGATGTGGCACCTGGGGACATGGGTGGCAGTGCTGGGATGGTTGGACTGGATGACCTTGGAGAACCTTTCCAACCCAAACCATTCCATGATCCCATAAAATGGTTGGACTCAATGACCTTGGAGGACCTTTCCAACCCAAACCATTCCATGATCCCATAAAATGGTTGGGCTCAATGACCTTATAGGACCTTTCCAACCCAAACCATTCCATGATCCCATAAAATGGTTGGGCTCAATGACCTTATAGGACCTTTCCAACCCAAACCATTCCATGATCCCATAAAATGGTTGGACTGGATGACCTGGGAGGACCTTTCCAACCCAAACCATTCCATGATCCCATAAAATGGTTGGGCTCAATGACCTTGGAGGACCTTTCCAACCCAAACCATTCCATGATCCCATAAAATGGTTGGGCTCAATGACCTTATAGGACCTTTCCAACCCAAACCATGCCATGATCCCATAAAATGGTTGGGCTCAATGACCTTGGAGAACCTTTCCAACCCAAACCATTCCATGATCCCATAAAATGGTTGGACTCAATGACCTTGGAGGACCTTTCCAACCCAAACCATGCCATGATCCCATAAAATGGTTGGGCTCAATGACCTTGGAGAACCTTTCCAACCCAAACCATTCCATGATCCCATAAAATTCCCACACCTGGCACCCTCTGAGGGCCCTCCCTCCCTTCCCCTGGGCAGACTCACTTCTCCAGCACGGACATGATGATGGGAGGTAGAACCAGTATAGGCATGGGCAGGACCACTCTGGTCAGGGCTGTTTCCAGCAGGGCCTGTGGAGCAAACACAAACAAACAAACACATGCAGACATCCCAAACCAACCCAGGATGGACCTGCCAGGCTCAGGATGGCTCTGCTGATGGCACTGAACTGTCACCCAGAGTCTGCAGCAGCTGACAAACCTCAAAGCAGTTGGGAATTGGAAAAACATGCCTGGATAATGATTCTCCAAGCTCACTTTAAAAGTAGGTTCAGCTGTCATGTACAGAGGGTCAAATTGCCAAGCCACAGCGACTTGGATACTTTTTGATGCAGAAAACATCTGGGTTTATCATCAATTATCCCATCTGAGTAGAGATAGAGCTTGGCCAAAGCCAGGACTCTAATTGGTGGATGTCACTTATGTCACTTATGTCACTGATGTGAACCAGATAGGAATCACTGATGGGAAATCTTGTGGGGGAAACATTGTAGGGGAGACAAGGTGGAGGAAATGTTGTAGGGAAATGTTGTAGGGGAGGTATTGGAGGGGGAATGTTGTAGGGATGTGTTGTAGGGAGGTGTTGTGGAGGAAATGTTGTAGGGGAAATGTAGGGAAATGTAGGAGGGGAAATGTTGTAGGGGAAATGTTGTGGAGAAAATGTAGGAAATGTTGGAGGGGAAATGTTGTATGGGGAATGTTGTAGGGAAATGTTGTAGGGAAATGTTGGAGGGGAGATGTAGAGGAGATGTTGTGGAGGAGATGTTGTAGGGAAAATGTTTTAGGGAAATGTTGGAGGGAAATGTTTTAGGGAAATGTTGGAGGGAAATGTAGGGGAAATGTTGGAGGGAAATGTTGGAGGGGAAATGTTGTGGGGAAATATTATAGGGAGATGTTGTGGAGGAAATGTTGTGGGGGAGATATTGTGGGCGAAATGTTGCAGGGAAATGTAGGGGAGATGTTGTAGGGAAATATCCCACCATGGGCCGGGCAGCACTTTCAGCCCTTCCTGCCTGAGCTGAGCTTTGATCTCACTCTGTGCTGGGGAAGCAGCTCCTCACTGCTGCTCCAGGAATTGTTTCCCATCACTGCTGGGTCATTCCCTGCAGGGGTTTGGGACATGCAGGGCTCTCCTCTCCTGGGAAGAGCCCAACCATGGAGCTACATTGTGCCTCCACAATTCTTCCTTACTGGCCAGACTCACCAGAGGGAGCAACCAAAGCAGGGTTTGGATTTATTGAGGCCAGAGATCTCCCAGGGCCTGCAGGGGCTCCAGGAGAGCTGGAGAGGGACTGGGGACAAGGCCTGCAGGGACAGGAGCCAGGGAATGGCTCCCACTGGGAAAGGGGAGATTGGGCTGGGATCTTGGCAAGGAATTCCTGCCTGGGCTGGAATTCCCAGAGCAGCTGGGGCTGCCCCTGGATCCCTGGCAGTGCCCAAGGCCAGGTTGGACACTGGGGCTTAGAGCAGCCTAAGACAGTGGAAGGTGTCCTGCCCATGGATGGGGTGGCACTGGATGGGATTTAAGGTCCCTTCCACCCAAAGCATCCCATGATTTTATGTCACAGGGACATCTAACATCACAACAAACCCTCACACAGGGACAGCTGTGTCACACTGAGGATCTGCCATGTTTCACATGACAAAAACCAGGATCGACCTATCCAGGAGGAAGAGCTGGGATTGGATGGCAGCTGAGCAGGAGTTCCCAGAACTCCCAGATTTTATGTTTTAAGTTCCACCTCCATCACTCTCACAGCACCTTCACTTTTAATCTTCATTTTCTCTTTCAGCCATCAGGACAGAGAGGGGAGAGCGGGTCCTGGAGCCAGTTAATGGAAGTGAGGAAAACTGGCTCCAAGAAGTGTCTCTGAGCCCTTCAGCAGATTGTTTTAATCCCCCTGTTAACCAACAATATGGAGAGCTATTCGAGATCTCCCCGTTCCTGCCGAGGACTGCAGAGCTGTACATTAATTGCTGTCTCTGGAGTGCCTTGGACAGAAGGAGGGAGGGAAATGCCAAGCATTATATTATTAACTCCTGTGCCTGGGCGTGTGCTCAGCACAGCTCCACATCTCAGTCAGAGCCCACTTGGAAACAACAGCTCAGGGGGTGCTCAGGAGCCAGGACTGCACCCAGGGATGGGAAGGGAGCAGTTCCAGGCAGGTGGCACAGAGTGGGTGACAGGGAAAGCAAACCAGCTGTTCACGAGGTTAACAACATCTGGCTGCCCTCAGCCAGCTCTGGGTGGCAGGTTTTGGTGCAGGATTGGCAGGGAAAGGTTGGAAAGCTGCTCAGCCCCGAGCCTGAGTCCTCCTCATTTGGGAAAATGTGTGAGGGATCTTTGCTGGGTGTTCCACAAGGAATTCCCACGGTAGCACCAGGGATCTGTCCTGTCACTGTGCCATTCCAAACCACCAGGGCCAGCCCCCAAATTTCTGTGTTCTCTGCATCTCCTCCACTCCCAGCTGCTAAAGCCATGGATTCCAGAGGCTGTGGGATGTGCTGGGCCTGGAATCAGCTGTGGCCCAGCTCTCCCAGCTCCTGTACTCACGTGTTTGGCAGCAACTCTGGAAGAGCCGACGATGTTCCCATTAGTGTCCAACACATCGATTCCCTCCTCCAGCTCCGTGTGCCTCATCAGGACCACGTTGCAGATGTTGGCACTGGCTGAGGAGGAGAAAGGCAGGAGGATCAGCCTTGATCAATCCCCACTGGCAGCTTCTGTTTGCCCTGACTCCAGATCTCCTCCCCTCAATCTGCTGAGGTGAATTGCTCTGAACCCCAAAAAAAGATGGAATTCTCAAGGAGAATAGTAACCAATTTTTTTTTTCTCTGGGATAATAAAGGCAAATAGGCCTACAGGAAGGTCTAGTGCAAGGTGTCCTTGCCTGTGGTTGGAACTAGATGGTCTTTAGGTCCTTTCCAGCCCAAACTATTCCATGATTTCACACAATTTAGGGGAAAAATGACTCCATGCACTGGGACCTTTCTAACCCCTCCTCCTGGCCCAGCCTGTGGCTTTTGAGGCCTCAAGATGACCCCAAATTCTGTCTCTCAAGTCCGACCAAGAGCTGGGGTTGAGCACCATGTGCAGCCCCTCCTCTCACTCAGGCACTTCCCAACTTCTCCCAGAGAAAAGCTGCTCATTCCCACAAAACTTTTGGGCTGATCAAGTGGCATTTTCCAGCACCCCCCACACCACATTTGCCTGCAAACTTTCCACCCAGAACTGAAACAAACCCACTGTTGCTGCAAGTACCAGTGCCTTCCAAAAATGTGTTTCTGCACTGCTTGATGGGTTAATATTCGCTAATTAATCTCAATTCATGTCATATAACAAATGTCTAATTTTTTGAGGGTGGTGGGTGGGTGAGCCCTCTCTGAAGGCAGCTCTGTGCAATCAAGGATGATTTGTGGTGACAAATGCTCCTTCCACTCGAGAGGGAGAGGAACACACACACACGCACACTCTGTCTCTCTCTTTAATATTCCAACTACCAGACCACTCTTCCCATTTATCAAAATATCTGTGTTCCCAACCCTTCAGCTCCTGAATCCCAGAGAAAAAACAAAACAAGGCCTTTCATTTAGAGAAAGTTTAGCCCCTGGTTTTTTTTCATTTTTAACACTCGCACGCCCCATCCTTCTCGCTGTCAATCAAAACTGAGCAGATCAAAGAGCCCAGCAGAGCTGCTCTGGCCAGGGACGCCCTGGCACAGAGTTCCTGACAGACTCAGGATGGGGTGGCCAGCCCTGACACTCCCAAGATGCTTTCCCAAGGCTCTGGATTCCCTGCCCTGGTCCCAAAGCCAAAAGCTGCTTCCATGGTTTGTCTGAGACGAGGCGCTCACGTAGCCGCTCCCCTTCTGCTTTCTGAGAGAGCAGAAACGCTGCTAATTATGGCTAAACTTGGATTGCATGGATGTCTCAAATGCACGAGGGTGGGGGGGGGGGGGGGAGAAATAAATAAATTTTAGTGCAGACAAAGTCATCTGCAGGATTTGGGAAGGAATTGTGGTAATGGAAACTGCGGCTGTGAAAGCACTCTGAGGAAACGGGGCTCGGGCTCCACACCAAGGCAGCACCCCACTCCTGGGGGTTTGTAGGGATTCTTTCTATCCCAAGGTGCTTTCCACACTCTAAATCTGTCCTTGGGCATCACCTAAACACAACAATTTTAACCACACACACACACACACACACAAAAAAGCCCAAGGAGAAGAAATCCTTCCTCCTTCTCCCTCTCTCCAATTAGGATCTTTCCATCAGCTTTAATTTCCTTCAGATCAGGTTTGAGATGGGATTTTTGGGGGTTTCTGAGGTTTTTTAGCCATGAACATCTCCAGTATAAAGCACACCCTCACCAGTAACACCCTGGCCTTGGGGCCAGCTGTTCACTCCCAGTTCTGGGGAAGAAAAGGGTGAACTGGGTTCCTTGGATTCCCCTGGGCACCGAGACCCTTCCCCTCCTCACCGCTGAGAAAGGATCCAGCCCCTCCCAGCTCAAACTCAGGCTCCAAGACCTCCTTCCCTTCCCTTCTTTTCCATGGAACCCCTTCAGCCCCCAAGGATGCCCCAAGCCCAATCCCAAACCCCTTTTCCAGCCCCTGGCTCTGCAGGGCCTTCTCTGCTCCTCCAGGAGCTGCTCCCCTGGCTTGGTTTCCTGGATCCAACCCCTGGTCCTGGCCGGGATTTTTTGGACAATTTGGGGTTTTCAGCTGGAAAATTAACCTTGGAAGGGGGTGAAGGCAGGGCCTGACCCAGCAGCACTGGTGTTAAAGTGTCCTCCAGGCAGAGCTGCTGCAGGTGGGCATTCCCTGATGGTGCAAACACAACCTTCACACGGCCTGGAGAAGACACAGACCTCTCTGAGGGCACCAAGACCTTCCCCAGCAGCCATCCCAGCTTCCCAAAGCTCCGTGGAGCCCTCAGAACATCCCTGCTGGAGTTTGGGCTGCCTTCCACCCCAGCAGCAGCTGCCCCTCCTGTGGTAACTTGGGATGGGACCCTCAAGCTTGGATGTCCCCCCAGTTTTCCAGCTGCCCCCAACCAGCACAGCTCTGGGGGTCAGTGCAGAGGGAGGCAAGGAAAGGATGGGGAAAACTCTCTAATGTCACAGAATCATGGAATTATTAAGGCTGAAAAGGATTTCCAAGATCATTAAGTCCAACCATCACTGCCAAATCCACCAGCCATCCCTGAGGACCACATCCATGGGGTTTTTGGAGCAAGAGCTTTACCCCAGTGTATGGCTTTTCATGTAGAAATAGAGAATTTCTGCCTTTTTGCTGGGGGCTGGAGGCTCAAAAGGAATTGGGAGACACATCTTAATGAAGGGTTTGTCCAGGTCAGCAAACCACAAACCAGCAATTAGTGGGAGGATCCCTGATGTCCTGGCTCATAATGAAGCAAGACAAATAAAACATTAGCTGGGGAATTAATTACAGGCTAAACAAATTAATTATGGGTCCTCAATCAATGCCAACACAAACACCTTGGTGTGAAAGCAGATCAAGCCTGCAGCAAGGATTTCCTGCCTGCCTTTGACTCAAACACCCCTCAGAGCTGCCTCCTGGGACTGGAACTCATCCCTCGTGCTCTCCTGGTTGTAAAACCCCAAGGAAAGCTGAATCTCCCTAAAATAGATCCCAGAAAAGCCCCAGGAAAGCAACAACAATGCCCTCAGATCCCTGGTGTACAAAGAAAAGGCTCAGTGCAACCCCCAGAGCACAATCCCTGTCCCCCCTGTTCTGCAGGCAGGGCAGGCAGCTGCTTTTGTGGCAGAAAAGGGGAAAAAAAATCCAGTAATTCAGGAATTGAAGGCTGGAGGGCCACAACAACCAACTCTCTGCTAAAAAAGGAGCAGAAAGGCCAGAGAAAGTGAGAGCAGCAGACAGGTAAAGGGGCTCAGGAGAGCTCTGAGGATGTGGCACTTGCACAGCAAAGGAAAAAAACCTGAAAGGAAAATTTGGCATTATATGGCTGAAAAAGGAACATGGAAGAGGGAGCAAACCCCATTTTTTTAGTGATTTCCTCCATGCTGGGGCAATTTTTGCACCACCTTTGTAAATAAACAAGCTTATACAAAAAATTACCCCAAAGCCACAAAGCCAAAATAACTCAGCATGTGCTGGAGGTGGGAACCAGAGGCCCCAGCAAAGGCTGAGTGCAGAGCATCCCTGCCCTCAAACACAGGGCTGATAAAGCCCCAATAAAATGCTCCACCAAGCCAGGAGCAGCCTCAGTTCTGCACACACTTGGGGCTGCTCTTAACCAGTGACTCTCAGACATCTGCACATTCAGAGCAGAACCATTTCTCTGCATTTTATTGTAAAATAACCACAGTGCTGCTGCTTATTTGAAGATTTGACACAGCTCAACCCAGATCCTGCAAATGAAATGCTCTGAGGTTGGAATGGTCGAGGACCACTCAGTGCTGATCATTTCTGAAGCTGCTTCAGAGTGCAAAGTGCAGCTGAAAAGCCTGAGGAGCTGCCTCCAACAGCAGATCTGCAGCATTTTTCTGCCAAAATTCTGCTTTGCAGAGTCCCATCCCTGCCTGCCCCAGCTCAGGGAGCACCACTGAGGGGACACGAGCAGCAAGGAAGGAGCTGTGTCCATCCCAGTGGCTTCTGGCCACCTGCAGGTTTGCAGCCACTGCCTGGAACACAAAGAAAAGGAATTTTTCCTTACCGACAGCGGGGAATGGCACAAACCTCTGGATCAGCAGCCGAGTGGCTGGGGTAAACTTGTTGGCTCTCTGGATCAGAACATTAAGGCCCACCTTGGAATGGAGAAAAGCAAACCAGAGGAGCAGAGGATTAATGACCAGGAGCAGGGCACATGGCACAGTTTGGGGTCCCTCCCCATGAAAAGTGTTTGAGAACTAAACCTCCCCCAGCTGCAGGGTTTGGCTGTGTTGGGATCAACCCTTTAGTCAATACAGGGTTAAATCCAATTGCTGAGCTTAAAACAAGGGTTGAACCCAACCTTTGGGCTTAAAGAAAGTGTTGAACTCAACTCTTGGGTTTAAATGAAGGGTTGAACCTAACCTTTGGGCTTAAAGAAAGGGTTGAACCCAGCTCTTAGGTTTAAATGAACGGTTGAACCCAACCTTTGGGCTTAAAGAAAGGGTTGAACCCAAGTCTTTGGTTTAAATGAAGGGTTGAACCCAACTTTTGGGTTTAAATGAAGGGTTGAACCCAACCTTTGGGTTTAAATGAAGGGTTGAACCCAACTTTTGGGTTTAAATGAAGGATTGAACCCAAGTCTTGGGTTTAAATGAAGGGTTGAACCCAACTTTTGGGTTTAAATGAAGGGTTGAACCCAACCTTTGGGTTTAAATGAAAGATTGAACCCAACATATATAAGTGCTGGACCCAACCACTGGATTGAACCAAACAACTGGGTTTAAATGAAGGTTTGAACCCAACTCTTGGGTTTAAATTAAGGGTTGAACCCAGCCTGGGTTTGTATGAAGTGTTGAACCCAACCATTGGATGCAACTCAAACACTTGGTTTAAATTAAGGTTTGAACCCAACCCTTGGGCTTACAAGAAGGGTTGAACACAACTCTTGGGTTTATATGAAAGGCTGAACCCAACCATTGGGTTTAAATGAAGGTTTGATCCCAACAGTTGGGTTTGTCCAAAGTGCTGAACCCAACCACTGGATTGAACCAAACCACTGGGTTTAAATGAAGGGTTGAGCCCATTACTGGGTTTAAATTAAGGATTGGACCCAACTATTGGGTTTACACAAAGCATTGAACCCAAAAGTTGGACTGGACCAAACCACTGGGTTTATATGGAAGGTTGAACCCAACAGTTGGGTTTATATGGAGGGTTGAACCCAACCTTTGGGTTTAAACCCTTCCCAGCTAAAAGATAAGCCAGAACCCACTCCAACACCATCCAGTCCTTCTGGAATTGCCCTTGGCTGGATTTTTGCCCAGGTCACCATCATTTTTCCCATCCACCACAAAATCCTTGGGACTGGCTCTCACCTAGCTGGGAAAAACCCAAATTTCAGTGGTGGTGGTGGCCCAGCACAATTAATTCCTTCTCCAAGGGTCTGGACTACACAACCCCATGCAGTGCCAACATTTGGGCTGTAAAGTTTATTATAACCATGGATTTATTTTTGTTGCCTTGTCCAACCCTTAAATAATGCAGAACTCTCCATAGTTTTCCATGGATCTGGCTCGTTGTGCATGTTCATGGAAACATAGAGGAGTTGTTGCCTCTTGACTCTCACATTGATAATGCTGAAAATTGGGAGAATTTTCATCAAAACTGGCTTCATGCACAGGTGGGGTTAAAAATTAACCAAATCTATCCATGGGGAATGACTTCTGTCTTTAAATTACTCTTCCTCTCTTCCTCACAATATTTTCTCTTTTTCATCCCCCTTAAAAAAAAACCCAAATGCACAAACTAAACCAAACAGCCCCAACCTGGGAATTTTCAGCTGGAAATGGAAGCCTTGAGCAATGTGTGGCTGAAATGTTTTCAGCCCAAAATGCAGCAAAATTAAAAATAAAAAATAAAAAAATCAGCCAAAACCAAAAAGCTGCCAGAAAAGAACAATTTTTTTGTGGATATTTTTTTTTTGGGGGGGGGGGGTTTGAAAAGCAAAGAGAAGCCTGGGAGAGGATATTTTGCAGGCTGCTACATTATACATGCACATCCCAGCTCATCCCAGCGTGCCAGAGCCTGGGAGGAAGAGGGGGAGAAGCACAACTGCTGGGTAAGCCCTGCATGGGCACAGGGCTGCTTCTCCAGCCCCAGGAAATATTTCCAGAGCCTTTCCCAAGGTTTTCACCCAGACCCCAAGCAGGAGCTCCTCCTCTTGTCCTCAGCAAACGCAGCCCTAGAGCTGAGTCCAAGAGAGCCATGGTGATTCTGCTTAGTCTGGACAGCAGTGAAGGTTTGTCTTGAACTTCTTCCCCCTCAAAAATGACTGAATGATTTTTTTTTCTTTAATTTTCCAATTGTTAGGATGAGTCTTTTCAAAGTCTGAACACCTCCAGAAACTGTAACACAGTCTAAAATGTGTGGCTTTACGAGGACCCAGTTCCAGTTTTAAGCCTGGCTTTGCTTGTCTGCCCCATGGATTTGGGTATTTAGTCTGGATATGGTTAATCTGTGTCCATGACAAATTTTATTGGGTTTGCAGCCCCTGCTTGGAGGTTTGGTGGAGGATTTGGCAATGAAGTGGAAGAGCAGCAGCTTTTGAAAGAGAAAAGCTGAGTCTGGGAGAGCCACCACTGTGAGGGCAGTGAAATAAAAGCATTTTACTTCCAGATTTAATGTGATGAACTCAGTCCCCACTTACAGCAACCCCCCTGCTGGGAACATGAAATTAAATGTTGCTGGAGATTAAATCCCATCTCCCAAATCCTCAACACAAGGGATGGATATAGGAAACTAATGAGGGTTTGTTTTCTACAGTTTGGAAATTGCTGTAGCTGATCTGTGAACTCCTTCCCACGGGCCATGAGGTGGGATGAGGGTAAACAGGGCAGGAACTGCTCAACCTCAGGCCACCAAAGCAGAAGGGTCATCAAGGAGATGTTAATGAGTTTAATTACTTGGGATTGGCCGAAGGACGCTGTTGAAGCAAATTCATCATTAAAGACCAACCCCAGGTTTATTGTTGTGACCATCACCCAGTCACTGTGCAGGGTCTGCAGCACTGGTGATGGAAACATGGAACAGAACCAGGGGGGACTCACCTCACCCAACCTGGCACAACCACAGAATCCCCGAGGCTGGAAAAGCCCTCCAAGACTGAGTCCAACCATCCCCAGCACTGCCAGGGCCACCACTGCCCTGTGTCCCCAAGTGCCACATCCACAGGGCTATGAAACCCCCCAGGGATGGGGACCCCACCCCTGTCCTGGGCAGCTGTGCTTGACAACCTTTGGTGAAGGAATTCTTCCTGAAATCCAACCTAAACCTTCCCTGGCACAGCCTGAAGCTGCTTCCTCCTGTCCTGTGGGTCCCTTTGCAGCTTCTCTGGGTGGCCTGCTCCAGAGTTTGACAGAACTCCAGGATGGTTTGGTTGGGAAGGGACTTAAAGAACATCCAAGGCAGGGACACCTCCCACTGTCCCAGGGTGCTCCAAGCCCCAGTGTCCAACCTGGCCTGGGACACTGCCAAGGATGGGGAGTTATCCATGGTACACATTCCCATACTGTGACCAGATCAAATCCAGCTTTCCCCAATTGCCTCCAGAGCACTCCCTTGATGTGGCTGAGGGAGCTGGACACAGGGACACGTGGCTGGACACAGGGATACATGGCTGGACACACAGACACATGGCTGGACTCAGGGACACAGGGCTGGACACAGGGACACAAGTGGACACATGGCTGGACACAGGGACAGATGGGATACATGAGTGGACACAGGAACACATGGCTGGACACACAGACACATGGCTGGACACATGGACAAGAGTGGACACAGGGCTGGACACAGGGACACACGGCTGGACATAGGAACACACAGCTGGACACAGGAATACACGACTGGACACAGGGACACATGGCTGGACACAGGGACACACAGGGGACACACATATCCCTGTCCCTGGACACAGGGAAACGTGACACCAGCACTTCCTAACATCCCTCAACACAAAACCGGGATCAAACATGGCCAGTGGGAGAGAAACCTCAGCCAGGGCTCTGCTGTGCCTCTGGCAGCACTCTGCCCTTCCTCCCTCCCTCTTCCCCCTTCGAGTGCTAAGAATTCCTGCCATTTCTTTAGCTCCCATTTTATTTCAGCATCAAGAACATTCCCTCAGCAGAACGTTCGTGAGGTCACCACACTTTGAAGCAGAACCATCAGATGCTGTCAGAGACCAACGTTTCTGATTCCTTTCCTTCTTCTTGTCTCACAAAGTTCTGATCTTATGTCTACCAAGACACCAATTCTAAAACCATAGGAATTAAAAACAAACAAACAAACAAACAAACAAACAAACAGGTTTCTTCTGTCTTTTTATGAAGAGTTTTGAAGCCTGAGAGATGGTTTTGAATGCCTGACATTGGCAATGGCCAAGCCCACACCTCTTAAACCTGGCCTAGAGCAGTAAATCCATCAGAGGAGTTATTTCACTTCATACTGGGAGGGAATTTTTACAAAATAGAGGGATCTCAGGAGTCCAGCAAGCATTAGCTGGTAGATGACACCACCCAAACATTGCTTCATGGACTGTGCTGGAGAAATCCCCACTGGTTTAGGGGATTTAACTCCAGGGCATCCCTGAGCACTGCAACTGGAGCTGGCTGTTCAAGGGACCTGGAAAGTCAACTTGGAGAGAGGGACTGGCTCCAAAGTAGGTTATCCCTCATCCCCCAGTCACCAGATTGGATTAGAACTAATTGGATCTGATGAGTCCCATCCAGCCAAGCTGGAGAAAAGAGCATTAGGAGAAGGAAGGAAAAAACTCATTCATTAGGGCTGGGAGGTGAAGATGGAGGCAGAGAGATGGAAAACTGGGCTCTTTCCCAACTGGAGCTTTCCCAAGCCAAGGAGAACAGAATGGAAGAGTCTAAGGGAAGGGAAAGCAATCAGGATCCGAGTGGGGAAGGAACTTAGAGAGGAGCAAGAGTAAGGGAAGGAGCAGACATCAGTCCCAAGACAATTCCAGCAGGGACGACCACAGCAGCCCCACAGCTGGATGTTTCAAGGGAAGGGAATGGTGCAGTCTGGAGCAAGGCTGGAGAAAAGTGGGATTCATGCTGAGAGCACGCCAAACTTGGTTTGGGAGATG